TCCGTTGTTTGGCCGTTGCCCCGGACGAAGCTAGAACCTAAGCGCGCGCGTAGCGCGCGTGGTTCTAGTATATATGTGTATATATGTATATATATATATACAGATATAGATGTATATGTGTGTGTAGCTTGAGACGCGCGGCGTGCCCCGTGCCGCGCTGGCGTCTCCCGCGGCGCCGTCGACCCTCGATCCGGGAGCGGTATACCCATAGCGGTAATAGAGGGTAGGAGATTGCTGGAATCCCGGAATCCAGTCTATTTTAGGCGTCTTTTTGCTTCAATGACCGATTGGCGCCCCCTCTTCCCTCCTCTTCAAGGGGGCGGGCGTGGACCCAACGCCTTCCCACTTCGTGCTTCTACCTATTTCTTCTGACCCATGGGCATGGTGCGCAGCTGCTCGGCCCCCGCGGCCGACGAACTCGTGCACCGCGCCGCGCTGGAGCGGGGCCTGCCGGCAGCCCAAACGTGTCACGGTGCACGGGTGACGTCCTCGTGCGTGCGCAGAGCTCGTACAGTCGCGGCCCTGAAGAGGGAACCCTCTTCGTTGGGGAGGGGCTCGGTGTTCCTTGGCCGTTTCAAAGTTTACCTCGGGTTTTCCGGAGGTTTTCCATGGGAAATCGACGTTGAACTCATGGGAAAAAGGGGCTTCGTTCCTTATTTAGGGTTCCTGAGGTCAACGCCCCGACTGTAGCAGGGACCTGGGCGGAGCTTTTGGGCGCTGGGCGCGCGCAGAGCCCGGCTCCGCTCTCAGCCCGGCGGGCGTGCAGAGACGTGCACAGGGCTCGCAGGCTCAGCTCGGGCGGCGGACCTGCACGGAGCTCGTCGGCCCGTGGCGAGGGCTCGGCGGGGTCGCGCGGTGGGCGCGCGCCGGCGCGGCCACACCTCCGGGGGGGGAGGAGGAGGAGGAGGAGGAGGAGGAAGAAGAGGAGGAGGAGGAGGAGGAGGAGGAGGAGGAGGAAGAGGAGGAGGAGGAGGGAGGAGGAGGAGGAGGAGGAGGAGGAGGAGGAGGAGGAGGGAGGGGCGGGCATGTCGCCCCCGCCCCCGGGGCCCCGCCGCTCTCCCGCGAGGGGGTCGGCAGGGCTTCCCCCCGTCCGGGCACGCCCAGGTGAGGGCTTCGCCGTCCCCATGCCCATTCCCCTCGAGAGGCCCCCACCTAACTGCCCCCCCCCCCCCCCGAGTTGGGGGTACACCCTTCGAAACCCGCAGGGAACGACCTGTATCCCCATCTGGGGGGGTGAGTCGGCCAGTGGGGGCCCAGGCCACGCCGCTGGGGATGGGGATCTGTTCAACGGTACTCAGTTCGTTCGTTCGTCCAGGGAACGGGGGGGTAGCACGAGGAGGGAGAGCGAGCAGGAGGCGAGACGGTCCAGGAGACTCCTCGACGGTCCCCGCCGAGGAAGGCACACGTCCGAGCGATGCCACGGGAGCCTTGTGTACTCTCGTAGTTCTACTTTTCGAGTGCAGTAGCGCAGAGTAGCGGCCGGTAGTCGATGCGATTGTGCCGATGCAGCGCCGATGAGCGTCCACGAGCGTCGATTCGCGTCGATTCAGCATCGATTGGCGTCGACGAGCGCCGATCCGCAAGAGCCAACAAGACGGTCTGGGAGGGGCCCCTGAGTTGCCGCAGCAGGTTCGGAGAGAGGGGGGCAGCCCGAGCGGGTGCCCGGCGGCGTCGTCAGCCAGGCGGGGCCGGCGCCGGCGTGCTCTCCCGGAGGTCGGCGTCGGGAGGGAGACTGCAGAGCAAGGAGGTGGAGGAGGAGGAGGAGGAGGAGGAGGAGGAGGAGGAGGAGGGGGGGGGGGGGGAGGAGGCGGCAGAACAGGCCGCTCCGATTGGCACCTCCGGGCAGAAAGGTCTCGGAGGGGCGGGGGCAGCCCGAGCGGTCGCACGTCGGCGTCGTCGCTCGGGGCGGCCAAGGGCGGGATGGTGACTGTCAGAGCGTGAATTACCTACCCTCCTCCTCTTCCTCTTTCTCTTTCTCCTCCTCCTCCTCCTCCTCGTTCTCTTTCTCCTCCTCCTCCTCTTCCTCCTCCTCCTCCTCCGCTTTCGCTTCCAGACAAAACCAAGTCATACCACGCGCCTCCTTGTCAAGCGGCCTGACCAGTACAGGCCATAGTTTGGCGTCGCTTGGTATCTCTTGGAAGCGAGGGTGGTCAGAAGCGAGGTATGCTTGTTTTCCCCCTAGACTGGGGGGGAGGCGATCGTGGCGGGGGCCACCTGGTGTGTCCCCGGGGTTGCACGGAGCCTCCTCTGGACGTGCGTCGGCTCCCCGCCTGGGCGGGTCCCTCGAGTCGGCGACGGGGCCCCCCTCGCGTGCCTCGCGAAGCGCGCCAGAGGGGCAGCCAGGATGCGGCGAGGAGGGGGCGGTGATGATGATGATGATGATGATGATGATGATGATGATGATGATGATGATGATGATGATGATGATGATGATGATGATGTCGATGATGCTGACGATGATGATGATGATGATGATGATGATGATGATGATGATGGTGATGATGATGATGATGATGATGATGATTATGATGTCGATGATGCTGACGATGATGATGATGATGATGATGATGATGATGATTGGGATGGTGATGGGAATGGGAGGTTGTGATGGTGATGGTGGTGATGGTGATGGTGCTGATGGTGCTGTCGGTGATGGTGATGGCGATGATGATGGTGATGGTGGTGGTGGTGATGGTGGTCGTGATGATCATGGTGATGATGATGATAGCGGTAACGATGATGGTGATGGTGTTGATGGCGATGATGGTGATGGTGATGGTGGAAATGGTGATGATGATGGTGATGTTCAGTATGATGATGATGATGATGATGATGTAGATGATGATGGTGATGGTGGTCATGGGTGGTGGTTGTGATCATGGTGATGACGATGATCATGATGATTGTGATGGCGCATGACAATGCTGACGATGATTATGATGATGACGATGATCATGGTGATGATGATGGTGCTGATGGTGATGATGGTGATGACGATGGTGATGATTGTGATGATGGTGGTGATGGTAATGATGATGTTGGTTGTGATGGTGATGATATTGCTGGTGGTTGTGGTCCTGGAGATCATGATGATGACGGTGATGGTGATTGTGACGGTGTTGATAATGATGATGATGATGATGATGATGATGATGGTGATGATCATGATCATGATGATGATGGTGAGGTTGGTGGTGATGGGGAGGGTGATGATGGTGATGGCGGTGGTGGTGCCCATGGTGATGGTGATGGTGATGGCGAATATGATGGTGATGGTGCTGGTGATCGTGATGATCATGGTGATGGCGATGGTGATGGTGATGGCGATGCGAATGGTGATGAAGCTGATGCTGTTGATGATGAGGATGGTGATGGTGATGGTGATGGTGGTGATGGTGGTTGTGGTGGTTGTGATGATGATTCAGATGATTGTGGTGGTGGGGATGTTGGTGTTGATATTGATGGTGATAATTGTGGTTATGGTGATGATCGTATTGATGATGGTGATGGTGGGTGATGGTGATGGTGATGCTGGTGGGGTAAGTGGTTCTGGTGATGATGATGGTGATGATGCTGATGATGACGGTGATGGGAATGATGGTGGTGATACTAGTGATGATGATGGTGATCTAGATGTAGATGGTTATGGTGATGATGGTGGTGATGATGGTGGTGGTTGAGATGATGGTGATGGTGGCGATGATTGTGGTGATGATGATGATGCTGATGGTGGTGATGGTGGTGATGATGATGATGGTGATGATTGTGATGATGATGACCGTGATGATGATGGTGATGGTGATGGTGATGATCATGTTGGTGGTGGTTCGGGTGATGATGATGATGACGGTGATGGTGATGGTGATGGTGGTCGTAGTGATGATCGAGGTGGTCATGTTGGTGACGATGGTGATGATGACGGTGATGTTGATGACGATGATGGGGGTGATAATGATGGTGATGATGGTGTTAGTGATGATTGCGATGATGATGGTCATGATGATGGCGATAATGCAGATGGTGATGATGATGATGATCACGGTTTTGGTGATTGTGATGGTGATGGTGGTGACGTTGATGTTGATGTTGATTATTGTTACGATCATGCTCGTCATCATGGTGGTGATGGCGATGAGGTTTGGGATGGGGACGGGGATGGGGATGGTTATGGCTATGGTGATGTGATGGTGATGGTGGTGATCCTGTTTATAACGATGATGGTGGTGATGGTGATGGTGGTAATGCTGGTGATGATGCTGATGATCATGATGATGCTGGTGAAGACGGTGGTGACGATGCTGATGCTGTCAATGATGATGATGGTGCAGACCCGGGCCTCCCAAGAGCCCAATACAGATGTAGATAGTGTGAGAGAGATGGGGAAGGGCAAGATTTGTCCTTCGTGTTTGCTGCTACTGCGTTGCATCGCGCGGCACGCGCATTGTGTAGCCATCGAAGTGGTCCAGAAAAGGTTCTTCCGATGGTGCTGATGGTGCAGTGTGCTTTGATGTGATTTGGGGATTATGGTGATGGTAATAGTGGTGTTCGAGATGACGGTGAGTATATTGAGTTGGTTGGTGATGGTGATGATGATGATTGTGATGGGGATGATGTTGATGGTAATGATGAGTATGGTGAAGATGGCGATGATGACTACGAGCATGATGTTGATTATGACGACGACGATAATGATGATGTTGATGAGATCATGGTGATGATGGCGATGTTGCTGATGTTGATGGTGGCCATGATGCTGGTGATAATCATGACGGTGATAGTGGTGGTGATGTTGTGTTGATGATGGTGATTGCGATGGTGAGGATGATTTTGACAATGACGACGACCACAACGATGATGATGGTGATGACGACGACGACGGCGATGACGGTGGTGGATTCGGAGGCGGAGGCGGAGTGGGTGGGTGGAGGGGGGGAGGGGGAGCGGAACCAGCGGCGGCGGGCTTGTGCCGGGTAAGAAGCGCAGAAGACTGGGGCAGTGAGGTTCTCACCGTGTCCGAGGTGGGGCACGACGGCGTGTACGCGTTGGTGGGCCTGTCGCCAGACGTCAGGGGCACCGACAATGGGGGGGGCTGGCCCGGGAGGGGAACATTGGGCGCCCCGGCTTGCCAAGGAACTGCGGGGTTCCCCATCGGAGGCCTATCGCCGATTCGTTGGCGATGTCTGGTCGATTCCAGGGCATTTCTCCCCCCTTGTCGGCATCCATCATCTGCCCACACGACCGACGGACTGACTTTTCAATCCGCGGTGGCCCATGGGTCTCGCCTCCTGTCAGGGCCCATCTCGATCTGACCCATCAGATTCAATACTGAGTTCGCTGGTTCTGATTCGATTCATCTTCGACCCTGCGTCGATATGATGCGGCCCGACGCTTGCAAGCCGCAGTGGTGGTCGATTCGCTTCGATCCCGTGCCGATGCAACCCCATTCGATGCACGCTCCGATTTCGACATAGTTTGCGATTCGATAGTGGTTGGTCATGCCATTTCCTCTAAAACAGTTGTTAGACACAGTTCCAGTTATGATTGTCCCGTAGACCCAAAACGGACGCCAAAGGCCGAAAGTCTCAGAGAAAGTCGGGATCGAACATACCGATGCCTCCATCCCATTCCTTTTTGATTGTCCCGGATCCCGGAAACGGCTCCCAGGGGCCGAAATTCGAGACACGCCAGATCAGTCCGCTAGAGGTCTGGACCTCTGCTTGCCCCACCGACGCCCACGTTTTCAACATTTTCTCCTCCTCCTCCATCGCCACGCTCGTCACACACACACAATCTTGTTTTTGTTGTTTGTTCTCTTTCTCTCTCTCTCTCTCCCTTTCCCGCCCTTCCTCCCTCGCTGTCGATCTCTCTTTCTCTCTTTCTCTCCATCTGTCCCTCTCTCTCTTTCTCTCTCTCCCTCTCTCTCTTTCTCTCTCTCTCTCTCTCTCGTTCTCTCTCTCTCTTTCTCTCGCTCTGGTTCTCTCCTTCAGAAAAAGAAGAAGGTGGAGGAACAGAAGGAGGGGAGATTGAAGAGACCTAGGAGGACAGGGAGGAGAAGGAGGAGGATAACGAGGAGGAGGAGAAGGAGGAGTAACAGGGATCGTCTTCGAGAAGGAAGCGTCGAGGAGGACGAGAAGGAGGAAGAGTGGGTGATGACGAGAAGATATAGAAGGGGAAAGAGGATTATTACCAGGAGGGGGCCGCAGTAGACGGATGACGAGATTGATGATGATGATGATGATGATGATTCTAAGGAGGAGGACGAGGATCATGATCATGATGGCGATGATGAGGATGATGATGAAGCTGATGTCGATGATGGCGATGCTAATGTTGATGGTTCCAACGACGACGACGGTGGCGATGATAGTGATGGTGGTAATGATAACGATGATGAGGATGATGATGCGGATGCGGATGAGGATAAGCATGATGATAGTGATGTTGATGATGATTGTGATGTTGCTTGTGATGGCAATGGTGGTGGTGATGATGGTGACAGTGGTGATGTCACTGATCATGGTGGTAACAATGACGGAGATGATGATGATGAGGATGATGGTGATTATGGTGGTTGGGATGATGCTGGTAATGATGACGATGAGGAGGAGGATGATGGTGCTGCTAATGCTGGCGATGACGGTGATGATGATGGTGATGCTGATGGTGAGGGCAACGACGATGACAATGTTGGTGGTGATGGTAAGGATGATGGTGTTGGTGCTGGTGCAGATGCCGATGAAGAAACCTGGTCATGATGATGAAGTCAACGCACCCTTCCGCAACACCATGTTCCTGTCCGTCCTGCTTGCATGTGCACTGGTGCCTTGACATCTTCTTTTCACCCGCATCTACTTACTTCCAAGGTTCAGAGATAGCGGAAAGGGAGCGCGACCGCGCGCGTCGGCCCGCGGGCGAGCCTCCTCCCTTCAGTGTTATAGTTGTTGCATGGCTAACGGCATAATATGTTCTTGCCCATGTTTCTACGAAGCCCATTGGCTATGAGACATCATCGGGACACACTGCAGGGATAATGAATATCCGGGCACAACACTGGTTATCAGCTGAAACAGCGGCACAACCGCTTGATTCCGGGAGCATGGGGTCTCGATAAGGGACCTTCGGAAGAACAGGAGATTGCCGAGCGCGACACAAGTAGGAACGTCTTGGCCTGGCGACGGAACTCTCCTATTCGTCCCTGTCAGCAGGCATCAGAGACGATGTTCGATTTAACTGAAGGGGATTTATCGGTTGATTCAGAAAGAGGATCCAAGGAAGTACCCTCGGCTAAGAGGCATGGCACAGCCAGAACTGTTAACGAGGGGCCCTCCCAAGTTGTTCCAGCACGCTCTGGATATCAGAGGTCGGTAGACGTGTAGATTGAGATGGGGAAGTTGTTGGACACTGTTCCTTTCGAGGTATTAGGTGCTGAACACGTGGGCACCGAGAGCGCGGCCCGATACAAGTTGCATGGACAGAATGAGGATGTGAGCGAGAGGCAATCTGAAGGAGACAGTCCTCAATCGATAGAGAAGAATACGGAATATGCTCGATTCCATACTTCGCCTGGTCCGTCGCATCAGTTTGAAACTCTTCTGGATTTGCGTGCTGATCCTACTTCTTGACAGCAGAATGGTTGAAGCAAGTCAGAAAATCCACCCTTGATCCGGACGATGAAGATAAAGACGAAGAATGCTTAATTCAAGATGGGCGCTCATCGGAACAGCCGATAATGAGCCCACCCGACGCTATATGCGTGATGAGAAGTACGCGAGAAGTTACAGGGACGATTCCTCATCCGTTGACGAAAATCAAGGGGTGAGAGTGATGATTTGCATGTTTCCCCTCCTGTCGCAAGGCTTTTACATACCTGATTTTTCATTGCCTCGAATAATCAGAGATAGAATGCCAGAACTTGACGAGCCTGTTGTTCAGGATGAGCGAGACGATTTGACAAGAAGCATGGAGGTAGATGCCTCCAAGAGGGGCGCGATAACAAGAGAACAATACACACCTACCCCGAATGGCGGGGGGGGGCGATCCAGCAAGGCCCCCAGGGCCGGGCGCTATAGCTCCAGAGGGCTAGTGTCTTGGATTCGCCACGACAACCAGCAGTTTTTCGGCGCGGGAAATTAGCTGGAATGCCGGGCCAACGTGCCCTTCCCTCGCAGAGAATGGATGTCCCGGGGGATAGCACACAAACCGGGGGATTCACGTCGAAGACCCGTGCGTTCTCAATGCTCGAATGCTGCATCGCGATGGAAGAGCACAAGTGTCACCATCTTGCGGCCCAGGCGTGGACTGAAAGAAACAGACAAGATCGAGAGCAACTCAGGGCTGCAAGTGCGCACGTGCAACAAATTACTTCTGAGGTGCACGTCGATAAGCAGGTTGCCGAAGAGGCCCAACGCCGACTTGCGTTTTCTGAGGCCGAGAAGCAAGCGATTGCGCAGAGGATGGAGCATGAGGAAACCGCCGTTGTTGAAGATGCGCGCATGTTGGCACAGCATGCTGAGGCCAACGCAGCAGGCGTCACGGATGAAGCGAATTGGCGCCTTGCTCAGGAGGAGAATCAGAAGTTGAGGATTCAGAGCATAACAGAAAATTTGTGATTGACTCTCAACAGAAAGCAGAGAGAGAGAGAGAGAGAGAGCTGCTTACAGAGAGATGGCTGACACTGCAAGGAGGGACGGAGAGAGAGAGAGAGAGAGAGAGAGAGAGAGAGAGAGACAGAGACAGAGACAGAGACAGAGACAGAGAGACAGAGGCTCGATAACTGGCAGCACGAGCAAATCAGGAGCTCCGTAATCAACTCGAGGGTGCTAAACTTGAGGCTGACAACGTGAAGTCAGAAACGTTCCGAGCCCTCAGAGAACAAGAACAGCAGACCCGGCCAACCAGAGTGGAGGACCAGAAAAGATGGTCGATGCCTTGGATCGCTTGAAAGAGGCAAGCAGAGGAACAAATAAGAAACAACGACCTTGCAAGAAGGTTGAAGTTTGATCTTGAGCAGCGACGAGTGGAAAAAGAGGTTAACTCAACGCCGGCACAGCCGACGCATGTGGATCCGCCTCCTGTTCCAATTATTGACCGGTCTACTCGGAAGCCAAATATGTTGCGAGCGCGCGCGCGATCTGGCACTTCGGACCAGGCATGTCACATTTGCACGCGATCTTCGCCCGATGCATGCAAGAGTTGTTTGAAGCACACATACGGTGATCATCTGGATTCGGGCATTAAACGCCGCGATGAATGTGCGCGGAGAAAAACGCCAGCCCACCAGGGCGAGGGCGACGAGAAAAGGGGACCTCGAGACGTGCCTGACGCTCAGAACACAGATAACGACCCTGATGGGAAGGCACCGAGACACTCGGCTTTGCCCAAAGATGATAAACCTGAACGCCAGATGAGCAAGTTCGCTGACATTATAGGAACGCCAGTCTTCAAATCGGAGAGGCCACGCCATGACCATATGCCACTGCTAACTGCTCCGTCAATACCAGCGCTTCCTCCAACAAAATCGCATGTCATTCCTGGACCAGTTGTCGAGAAGACCTCGGCAAAAAAAAGCGAAGCTTCAGCGCGGGGGGGCCCTGGGAGTGAATCCTGGGAATGTTCTTTTCAATGCGAAGATATCGAGTCATCCGAATGCTCTTGACATGCCAGGCCGCCTTCCTCTCACAGTCGGCACGCCCGTCGCTGGCGGAGGAAGCGCGGATCTGGGAGGTCAGGATGACGACCAAAGAGATGATCAGAGCACAGCTCCCAGCTCAGGAATGATTGTTGCGTTACAGTGGGATGAGACGGGTAAGTTCAGACCGCCCAGAGACTTTCCAGGGGGGCCGGGGGGCGATGGCGACCCAGGCGGAGACGGCGGTGGGGGGCCGACTGATCGCAACGACCACGCATGGCGATGATCTCGTGCCAATCAAATGGGCATCAATTGTGGAAGTGTTGCAAACAATAAAGAGTTGAATTTGCTCAATACACCGGGTGTTCAGACTCTCCGAGAATGGAAGCAGCATTGTATGAGAGATGTAGCTGGGTC